GATCCCCCTCATGCACATCGAAATGGTTGGTTGTTTGGTGCCTTCTGAAGCTTGATACCTGATCCCCTTGACACCTCAGGATCACACAGGTTCATGTGTTTAGTAATTTTTTTGTTTACTCCTCAGATTGCCTCACCTTCCCTACCTCCCACTCCTGATCCACATCCCTCATAAGCTATCGCATCAGTAACTGTCTCTATGAATATACTCCTACTGTGCTTCACAATCTGGGAAGAAACAATAAAGAACAAAAACAAAATAAAATGGGAAGAAAATAATACTACAAAGATAAAAACACAAATACTAATAAAGAGTAAGAAAGAAAAGACAACCATCAATATTCTAAAAGCCAGACAACAAGCAAGAAATACTTGAGCCTAGAATAAATTCAGATTGGGTCAAGAGGAAGGTCAACTAACCAAGTATAATATTCTACCATGGTTCAATCCACCATAGTCAAGTTTACAATAATCTCTATCTAATAGTGAAGCTACTTGAGTCCCTTGTCTTTGGCTCGTGGGGATCTGCCAGAGGCTTCATCTGACTAGACGGTCTGCAGATGGATTCTGGGCTCCCACTGTCCTCCACAGCTGTATACAGATTGGGTGTTCACAACTTAAACTCCCTTCATCATATTTGGATATTTTGTAATTGTCATCTTTAGATCACACAGGCTGGTGTGTTTCTTCTGTGTGGACTTAGTTGATTCCTCATTTCGATGTCTGATTGTTTGAATACAAGCCTTTAAGATCCCAGACCCTATTCCAGTTGATAGCCAGGCACCGTCTACTTTCTTCACGACACTTTGCCCTAGCACCATTATCTTCCATGATTCTTTCATGAAGACCTATTGAACAAGGTCATGTTATCATAACTAACTGTTCTTGAATTGGGGCTAGAGTTAAGTGGGAGCCCAGAATCCATCTGCTTGTCCATAAGTTATGAATGACTCTGATTTACTTAGTGACTCTTCTTCATACTCTTTTCATGCATTCATTCATTTATTATTCCTTCATTCAGGGAAAGTTCATCAAAGCAGGCACTGCTTTTGGTTCCAGAAATCCAGAGAGAGAAAGCCAGAACTTCACCCTATTCAAGCCAAGTTTGCCTTACATGGGAAAGACTGGCAGTATGGAATGCCCCTATAGAACTATGGGGTGGACCTTATAGGAGCAAGGGATGGTGAAGAAGGAGGCTGTGGGGTGCAACCTGGAGACTGAGCTGAAGGAGAGGGATTATTAAGCGGAATCCCAAGGGGAAGAACTTTCTTGCATGAAGAAATGTCATGCAAAGGCCTAGAATCAATTAAGCATGATGCCTACAGCCTCTAGAAGTCCAAAAAACTGGACAAACATATCTACGGTTGTATCTGGGCAGGGAGGAAGAAGACCTGGTGGGGAATCCAGGACAGATAAAGCCCTCGGGACCAATAATGAGAGTAGTGATACCAGGAGGGGTACGGGAAGGTGCGGGGAGAAGTGGGGAACCAATCACAGTGAGCAGCATATAACCCCCTCCCAGGGGGACAGACAGCAGAAACGTGGGTAAAGGGAGACAGTGTTAGGTGTAAGACATGAAAAAAAAATGTATGGATTATCAAGGGTTCATGAGGGAGGGAGGGTGTGGGAGAGGAGAAAATGAGCTGATACCAAGGGCTCAAGTAGAAAGAAAATGTTTTGACAATGATGATGGCAACATATGTACAAATGTGCTTGACACAATGGATGTGTGTATGGATTGTGATAAGAGCCCCCAATACAATCAGTATAAAAAAAGAAAAAGAAAGACCTGGTGATCTACTTTCAACTATCAGCCAATGAAAATCTTAGGTCACTATAGATCACAACCATACCTCATTATAAAGATGGCATAGGACTGCCATCTAGCTCTATTGTGCAAGAAATTCTTGGGGGACAGATTTTAGAGTAGCCAACAGCAACAAGTTCATGACTGAGAGGACAGGAGTGAGGAACCTGGCAGGTGTGTGGCCTGAAACTTCCAAGGACCATGGATGCCTGAAGGGAAGAATTGTCTCCAGGACCCACTCCTGGTTTCAGACAAAGGGGGTGGGGGGGGACAGACATAGGCAGCATTCATGTCAATACGGAGGCTCATCCCAGAGGGATGAGCAGATGAATGGACTGAGTTGGCCAGCCATACTCAGCCACCATATCTAAAAATGTAGATGCAGGGCTCTAGGAAATGCCCCCACCTGGACCCCCAATTCAGGGGCTTTGCTGCTTCCATATGAGGGAGGGGGCAAGGAAAAATCCTTTATTTGTGGGACTCTCAATATGCCTTGGCTTCCTCCACAGATCCGCACCAAGGACAGGGTCTTTGACAGTATTGGCCACCTCATCAACCACCACTTGGAGAACAGCCTGCCCATCGTCTCTGCTGGGAGTGAACTCTGCCTGCAGCAGCCAGTGGAAAGGAAACAGTGACTAACGAGCCTCACACCAGCTTCCAATTAATGAAATGACAACAACTGGGATCTTTCAAGAGACTTGTAGGCTGTGGGCTGTGAAAAAGGGGAAGTGCCTGGAGGCTTATTCAAAACCCTAAAGGAAGGTCCAATTCAACAAGCGTGTTCTAAGTTCTTATATGTGCATTAAGAGTGTACATACCTAAACAACCGGTAAAAATTATTTCTCTATATCTATATATTTTAAGAGTAAGAGAAGACTAATGTCTAGTGGAAAAAATAATTTGACTATCATTGTCCAAGCAAAAAGTTTATTTCAACTGATGCATGGCAGTCGAGAAGTCCCTTAGGAAGACGTTGTCTGTGGTTTCACCTAATACGCACAATATGAGGGGAATCTAAGGAGCTGCAGCAGTAAACTCATCACCATTGAGTTGGCACCGACTCATAGCAACCTTACAATGGTTATATCCTAAAAATGGAATTGAAATAAAGTAAGTCAAGGTGCTACCTATAAAGGTCCAGCTTGGCATTTGAAGCTATGTGAAATACCATTGTGCTTTCTGTCGGAGAGCTGAGAATCCTCCTTCAGAATGCTGGGGCCTTGACAAGGGCTCCCACCATTTGAGCCCTGATTTTCTATACTGGTGGACCCACTTGGCTTTACAAAACAGCGAGCGTCTCTCTGATTCCTGGAAGGTAGGTGAGCACTGGACAGCAGTCACCCTTCACCATGTATCAAGGGGTTCTTGGGGAGCTAAATCTTAATGCCAACCTGGCACAAAATTAGCCTCACCAATCAAGGTTTTGATTGAAAAGCACTTCCCTGTTCTTATTTGTGTGATGACAAAATGAGCTTCCTCAGATGCATATTTGGGGCAAACGCTTGGCATAGAAATCCTTCTAGTCAACTGGTTGATGATAGGCTGCGGCTGCAATCATGTGACTGATTCATGGCAACCCCATGTGGAGATTACAGCTGTGCTCCGCTCGGTTTTCCATGACTGAGTTTTTCGAAGGTTAGTCACCAGGGCTTCCTTCCAAAGCACTTCTGGGTGGACTCTAATTTTCAGTCTTTTGTGAATAAGCCAAGTCCATTAACCATTGGAACCAGCAAGATACTCTCTTGCTTATGGTAGCTGCTAGCAACATTGCGCCTCCTGCATTATATGCGGGGGTGGGGGGCGGGGGTGGGGAGCAGCAAAGGCATGTGTAAGAGTTATGCTGAAGGCAGATGTAAGCATGCGTCTTCAGTCTTCAGTCCTTAGAACATCGACACTGGTTGTTGGCTCCTGGGTTAACATTTGCCTGAAACTTGGCACAAGGTTTTGCATTTGGGGGAACTGATTAGACGTTTTGTTGTGAGAATGATTGATGGGTGAAATATGTTCTTGTCTCAACAACAAAGTTTAGCAATTTATTTATGACCAGGGCATGTTCCATGTGCAATGCTTTGTCTTGAATCCCTTTGAGATCAAATCGTGGGATTCCCTGTGAGGTCACTTGGGATTAGGGAGTTGACAATATTGATGACTTTGTTTTATACCAATGTGGAAATCATCACCTGATGTGAAAGATACTGTCTTTTAAAAGATGGCTGGATTCATGCCTTCTTGGTCACTTCCGGAACAGTACTCTACAATTCACTGTTGCCGTCATGAAATCCTGCCTGCAATTTGATAAGTGGAGAAGAAAGACACCCTGCACAAGATTAGAATGTGCTGCTAATACATTGGATGCTTTCAGAATTAGGAGTTGGGGTGAGATTTAAAAGAATTTGAGGCATCACCATTCTGCAAAACTCTCATGTCACCGGGAGCAGATGGATGAGGTGGTCGAGATGGAAGGATGAGGTAGAGGTAAAGTGGAGGGTGGGTCAGCTTGTTCGAAGCATTGTATGCAAGTTTTGTTGCAGTTTAGTTCCTTAAAGCATTCAGCGAGTCCAAGCTGGCAGCCAAGGCAATCTGCTAGAATACCCTGCAGCAGACTGGAACGCTGCGTACGGAGGGCCCTGCACTTAATCTGAACCACTTTTGTGCTTCTTGAGATGGCTTTGATTTCAGGCCCAGAGCTGCTCCTGGGCTCCAGGTCATCCAAGAACAGGGACAGCCACAGGGGATTCCCGGACAACTGCTGAAACACGTGATATATACCACAGGACTACAGAGAGAGGCATACATTCTGCTCTGTTTACCAGCATCTGGGAAGCTGCGGCCCTGTAGACGTGACCATATGAAGGTTTGGCTTCCTGGGGAAGGCGTGATTCCTCTGTGTGCAAGTGGACACCAGATATCAATATGTTAAACAACTTTTAAAAATACATCCTTGCACTTTCTCCTTATGCAAGGCCAAAATGCAAATGTTAAGGGGCAAAAGCAAATTAAGAAACTTCTAAAAATCATGGATGTCTTGAGATTTGGCCTGCTTTCTTTACAGTCTTGGGCCACTTAAGAAATGAAAGTTCACAGTTTTAGTAACTCTCTCGTCTAGAGTCTATGTTTATCTCAATACTGATCAATCTATTTATCTATCTCTCTATATATCCTATTATTATTTTGCATGGGAATCAACTTAGAAATTTTAAGTACTGGGGATCCATTTCCCCCCTTTTTAATATGCAGCTTTTTCTAAACTTAAATGACAAGAGTATTTATAATGAAATCATGCCAGTGAGAAAATTTCCACTCCTTTTCTGTCATTAAAGTAGATTCAAACAGCAGATAGCAAATATTTTATAATCGCCCCTCTCTTTCCTTTGGAAGGTGTTGCAGACTTCATGAGAACTAGCTCATCTGTTTTAAGCACTCCTGTGAGGGGGTGATACTGTGCCCCTTACTTCACAAATGAGGAAACTGTGGTTCAGACAGACACCACAACTTGTCCAAGGCTATGTGGTCAGTTCTTAGCACCTTCGGGACTCGGCTTTTCAACATATCCAGCATTTCTTGCGTTCCCGCTGGCTCAGCCCTGTGCCTAGAGCTCAAAGTGAGAAACAAAGGAAAGGGGGCTTGCTTTCCACCCAGCCTGGGTACTTGTTCCCCTGGGTTGTGACACTGCATGTCTGCAGGGGAAGGGCAGGGCTGCTGAAGAGCCAGGCACAATGGTACCTGCCATTGGCTCCAGAGGTCTGAGTCCTAGGCTCTATTATACTCTGTTGAGCAGCAGCATGTCAGGCTACCCTGGGTTTTCCATGTCTGCCTAGGGCCCTGCTGCTCTTCTTGTGGGGCCATCCTGCACCTCAAGCTACCCCCGAACCAAAAAACTCACTGCCATGGAGTTGATGCTGACTCATGGGGACCCTATAGGACAGGGTAGAACTGTCCCTGAAGGTTTCTGAAACCGTAACTCTTTACAGGAGTAAAAACCCCATCTTTCTGTCGAGGAGCTGCTGCTCGACAAGCTGACCTTGTGAATTACAACCCAAAGCATAATCACCACTAAGCCACCAGGGCTCCTGCTGCGACTAGATACCAACCATCGGAGGAGCACCCGGGGTTTTGAACCCACAACCTTACAGATCACAGCTCAGTGCATAAGCACGACACCAACAGGGCTCCAGTCCTTAAAGAGCCCCTCTCTGCTCTTGCTGAGTTGCCTTGCCTGTGGCCCCATGCATTGCCTTCCCCGTACCCTGCAAGCCAACGGTTGCTGGAAAGTTGACTCAGAGTCCAGCTGACTTCGTGTATCACAATCTGTTCGCATGTGTGGAAACTAGATGCCCAGTTACTTCTTGCTGAGGATATAGACAGGTGGTCGCTGTGGCCTGGAGGCACCCATAGGGTGTTTGAAGTGCACATAGGATGGTGCAACCACAGGATGTGACTCAGCTGCTCTAAAATGTCATCAGCCACCTCCACAGAAGGACCGACCACTGTGAGAAAGTGGTAGGTCAGCTGAGAGCCCAAGTGTATTGCTAACTGCTCCACGTTTGACTAGTTTATATTCCAGCCACAAGTATCTCTCTGAAAATGGGTGATAGCCATTCATTTTCCATTAACAGTAAGGGAAGAGAGAGTTGTGGCAAGTTTACAAGCTTTTCACTGCAGAATGCAGGCCAATCTTTGCACCAGGTTCCAGAGTGAAGAGCGAACTCTGCAGAAGAGAGCCCAAGATTTATTCAGGCCCTCTAGGGCCGATACATCAACCCATCCCTGTGGAGAACAGCAAAGAGTTTTCTCCTCGTGGTTTATGATTGTGCTTCATCACAAAAGCTGAGAATAACTGATGAGAGACAAGATGTTTCTCTTTCCTCGGTCTTAAGTTTGTGTCCTTTGTATCTTGCGGTACGATGCTAATAGCTTCAGTGTATTGGGGTGATAATCCCAGGAGTAAGGAAGGGAAGGAGCTGATAAAAAGCTGCACTATCTAGCAAGTTCTGTTCTCTAGGCAAGTGGAGCTAATCCCACTGGGGAATTCCAGAAGACAGCACTGAACATACTTCAGAGCTAAGCTAATAGAGTGGTGGAAGCTTATCCACAAAGTCCATGACTGATTGAAGGTTGTTTCGGGGAACAACCAAGTCCTGGAACTCTCGCTTGCCTTGGGCATCCTGAGCATAGCTTCTGGGCAGGGCAGTTGCTTGCAGACAGAGAGACACCTGTGTTGATCATAATCAGATATAGTAGAGAAGGCAGGTATCAGAATCACGTGATGGGCTTGTTGAAACCAGGGCATCCAATGATTCCCCTACTGAGAATTGGCATCCCCACCCCCCAAAGATACATTGAATCAGAAACTATAGTTTAAAGACCCCCATGTCATCCTTAGGCAAATCACCTGAGGATCTAGATTCTAGAAGAACCCCCCATAAATCATGCTTGTAGATTCTAACTCATGTCTGGGGTGGAAATAAAAATTCTCATCAGGCGATTGGTCAAACTGAATAAGCAGATTGGAAGTCAGCTTACAGAGCCCCATCCCTAGTGTTTCTGACTCAGTGGGTCTGCAGTGGGGCCTATAAGTTTCCATTTCAAGTAGACTTGTCAGGAGTCTACACTTTAAGAACCACTGACAAGGGTGGACTGCCAAAGCTTCCCATTGGCGGCTTTCCCCCTCTAATGTATAATTATGTTTTTATAAGACTTCATGTCATAGATTCCATGGTCCTTGCTATGAATTTAAAAGGAGAAGGTTAATAAGCATTTATAACTCTTTTCAATCCCAGCAGGCAGATAAAAATGTCATCTGCCAGGCAATTTCTTTATAA